GGTCTGCATCCAGAGACTTTGAATTTGACTTGGAAAATCTCAAAACTTCCACACTGAGAGACTTACAGCAGTTTGTGGCTTCTGGTCTGAAAAAGCACAAGAATAGCAGAAACATTAAGTTCACCTCCTGGCTTTACTTACCCAGGAGGCAGAGAGGAAATATGGATCGATCTTTTTCCTTGATTTTGCTCCACATATCACTGACTGCCCGTTGCTCTCTGATCTGTTTGTGAGAAGGTAAAAGTTTTAACCCCAAAGGAGGACTGAAGATGGAAAGAGCAAAGGGAGGAGGAAAAGGTTTAAGCAGGAACAAGAAGAAACCGAAGCTGTTTGGTAGGACTGGATCAATCCAACACATTTCATGCATCTGCTTCCTAATTTCAGTCAATGTCTAGTTTTAAAATGTCTGTTTTCTTTTTTTTTTTTTTTATTACTGTGGCCTGTTGAAGTGGAGGCTTCTGCTAACCACAGCCACCGGTCGCCCTCCAGCAGCAGCAGCAGCAGCTCCTCATCATTCAGCTCTTACACCAGCAGCTCTAGTAGCTGTAGCTCTAGTGATGACAGCGACACCGAATCAGGTTAGCCTAACTCTGCTTTTTGGTGTTGGCGCCACATTACACGTCTTGGTTTCTTGGTAAAGCACAAACTACTAACTATTATTGGTTTTCCTACTCTGGATAGATGATGGGGACCTACTCTTGTTTTTTTTTTTTTTTTAAATACATAAATACAGAAAAATACTTAAAGCTACAACTTTTTTATTAAATCAATACATTTTTCAAAAGCTCCAAAGAGAGAGACTTCTCTAGAATGGTGCAGAATACAAGGATTCATTATTAGGGATGTGGAAAAAAATTGTTTTGGCATTATATCATGATATTTGACTGCCTGATATATCGATCTTTTAGTTTCTAGTGTCTGAGATAAATTCTTATATAAAATTATGTATGATCTTTTCGTTCATTTGAGTGAAATCTGGTTGCACAGGTGGGCAAAGTTGATGAGCATAGCTCGACCCATCTGACTGATAAACAAAAAGGCATTAGGTGGATTAAAGCCGGGCATACACTGTATGATTTTTTTATTTTTTTTGCCCTTAGCAGGCTGATTTTCCAGTCGTGTGAGAATTTTTCGTTCGTTCCAACTTTCAGCCTAATTGTGCGTTGGGGTTGGCGTAGTCTACAGGGGGCACCGAGGGGGTAAAAAAAAATGATGAAACAATAAAATTGCTTAATAGATCATTCCTACTTTATGTCTTTTGGGGTGCATGTAATCCTGCAGTTTGGAAAACGATCCTATAAGCAAAATTTGCTTTTAGAACCAATAATCTAACTAGGACTGCAACTAACGATTATTTTGGAAGTCCATTATTCTGTCTATTATATTTTCAATTAATAGGCAAAGGTTCCTTAAAGAGTTTTTTTTTATGAAATTAAACCAGGTGAAACTTCAACTTTTCCACTTGAGGAGTTCTGGAGGTCTGAGTTTATATATCTTTTTTTTTTTTACAATCTTTGCATAATTACTGCTCTAAGTTGGTTGCTCTGTCAGCTAAGGGCATTTTTTTAGCGTCTCTATACTCCAGTTAACAATCTAGTTAGTTGACAATTATTTCAATAATTCGATTACTCACAATTAAGCTGATTAATTGTTTCAGCCCTAAAAGTGATATTTACCTTAACAGACGGATTGTTTTTATTTTTTTACAGTTCCAGACATAAAGAAAAGATCTAAAGATTCCTGTCAAAAAGTCCACCAACAGGTAAAAACATTTGCTCACAGATCAACAACTGGCTCGGCTGCAGTAACTGATGAATGTTGATCCTCAGAATCCAGACCATAAGCTGGTATCAGCAAAGACCTCCATCAGAACCGGTCATCCTCTGCTGCCCCTCAGCTCCATGGTTCCAGAAAGCTTCTATGCTCCAAGCCAGTCTGGTCAGTCTTTTCTCTTTAGCCCGTTTCCTGTTGTGGGTGTAAAACTGTCCAAAAGAACACAGGGAAAATTGTTCTGGAGTAAAATCATTACAGGATTTACTTTTTAAGGTGTGAAATGAGGAAAACACCCCAGAGTCATTTTGAAACAGCCAGATGTTTCTCTTTGTATTCTTTGTCAAGAGAACCTGTTGGTTCGGTTCTGGTTTTGTTCTCTGGATTGTGCGTAAACCTTTGTTTCTCCCCTCAGTCTGTGATTAATGGTGTAATTTACTGTCAGCAGATTTTTCTACGCTTTTATCCCCCATGGCTTCTCCTGAAGAGCTGAGGGACCTGACCGCGGCGATATTCCAGGTAGTTCATTCCGGCCTGATAAAGGCCTTTTTAGAAGGAAACTTTGCTGGCGCAGAAACGGCATCTCTCTCTGTATAACCCTTCAACAGGGTCCAGTGCTGTCCCCTCTCACAGGCAGCCCTCTGCTGTTCAAAGAAGAGACGGGGTGCTGTAAGCTTCTCGTCTAACACCATTTCTAACGTCTGCTTTTTTAGGCTTGTGTGAAGATTCTGTTTTTTTAAGGTCTCTTATAACAGATTTCAGGAACCTTGAAGATTTTCCTGACCCTCAGGAGAGCAACATAGCTGACAGTCAGACTACATCTACATATACTGAGGAGGA